AGGGTAAGGCTTCAGTTCATCATCACCCAGAAGATGAGGGTAAGGCTGGAACAAAACAAAACAAAACCCCCAGCACTTTGTTGCTGCCCTCTTCCTAGATGCACAAGGGCTTTTCAGCTTTTACCTTTACCCCCTTTGTGCCCTGGATTCTTTCTTCTTGTTTTTTTAACGTTTATTCGGTTTTTGAGAGACAGAGACAGAGCGTGAGCGGGGGTGGGGCGGGGAGAGAGGGAAACGCAGAATCCGAAGCGGGCTCCAGGCTCCGAGCTGTCGGCCCAGAGCCCGACATGGGGCTCAAACCTATGGGATCATGACCTGAGCTGACGTCAGACGCTCAATGGACTGAGCCACCCAGGCACCCCTCCTGATCCTGATTTTTTTTCTAATTTTTTTTTTTTTTTACATTTTATTTATTTCTGACATACAGAGAGAGAGACAGAGTGCAAGAGGGGGTGGGGCGGGGAGAGAGGGAGACGCAGAATCCGAAGCAGGCTCCAGGCTCCGAGCTGTCGGCCCAGAGCCCGACGCGGGGCTCGAACCCACGAACGGCGAGATCGTGACCTGAGCCGCAGTCGGAGGCTTAACCCAGGCGCCCCAAGCGCGCTGGATTCCTCACTGCCGCTCTCGAGCTGTAGAGGAAGACAATTTGTCTTCCCCTCTGCAAGGACGTTAGACGCCGTCTTGTTGCTTCTGACCGCGTTCCTTTGGTGCATTGGGGAGCCCGGGGAAAATCCCCCCCCGCCCCAGCCCCGTGTTGGTGGATTGCCGGCGCTTTCCCCCCTTTGTGTCGACCCCGTACCAATGGAGGGGACGCTTCGCCGTTGCACGCTCCTGTTTTGACACCTGTCAGATGGGCTTGGGGACGTTGCACGGCAGGCACCGAGAGGGAGGTGTTCCTGATTGACGGTGGGGATGATGTCTCAAGCGCCTTGCAGAGAAACAAGCTGTGAGGGACAAGCGGCTGTTGGGATAATGTGGCTCTCCCACTTCTGGGAGTGTCAGTAATCAAAAGCAGGGTTTGGCCTTTGCAGAGAGTTGTTTTGCAAGTTGGCAGCACTGGAGGGGAGAATTCCACGGAGTCCATTGATACATTCTCTTGTAAAATCCCTCGGCCAACATTTTTTGGGAGTTGTTTTCTTTAATTAAAAAAAAAATAACCTTCCCCATTAAGAACATACGACTGAAAGAGATTTCCCCCTTCCTGTCGGAGCTCTGGCAGCCCAGCTCTGGAACTAAGCAGACCCGAACAGAATTGCCAGCAAGAGTTGACAACTTTTGTAATGTTTTATTATTATTCTAATTTTTCTTCTTCTTCTTCTTCTTCTTCTTCTTCTTCTTCTTCTTCTT